CCACCCCACCCCGCGACCCACCAAAACCCGCACCCCCCAAGGTCGACCTCCTCAACCAGCTGCTGATGGCCCTGCGCCACTGCGCCGCCTTTGTGCCAGGGGTCTTCTCCCTGCCGCCGCAGCTGCTGGCGCGCGCGCAGCTGTCGTGGCGGCAGCAGAAGCAGGCGCCGCTGGTGTCGCAGCTGCAGCGGACGGTGTACCACGCGTTCCGGCCGTGGGTCAAGGTGCGGCCGCAATTCTTGACCGCGGTTTGACCAGGTTTGACCAGGTCAATAACTGCGGCGTGACCATGGTCCGGCCCACCTATTTGAGCAGTCGCCCTGACACACTGAAACACCCGCCTGAATCCGCACGCCGCAACTCCTGACGCGCCCACAAAACTGCACCCCGATGTTTGGCGTCCGTTCACCTTCCACGCCCCTGGAACGAATCCCCAGGTTGACCACGTTGAACTGGAGTACCGCAGCGCGGCGGAGAACTTCTCATCAGTCGACATGCTGGTGCGCCACAGGGGCGCGGCCCTGGCTCTGGAGGTGGACGGCCCGTGGCACTTCACCGCCAACCAGCCCTACAAGTGAGGGCGGGGCCTGCGCGCTCCGCGGTTGCCTCGCCCCTCGACGCACCGCGATTTGGTGGACGCTTTCTCGGGGCCGCTTTTCCAAGGGTTGCCTTGTGAAAGGCTGCTTTTCAGGGGCTACGGCAGGCCGTTCCACTTCCAACAGGGCCCGGCCCAATCCTAATCAGCCCCCCGTGGCCACCAGCACCGTCTGCGGGCCGGCCGGTCAGCCCTGGACCACCTGCGCACCCGTCGTGCAGACCACAGCCGACGGCTTGTCGCGCAGCGGCGCCGCGGCCCGCTCGGGCCTCTGCAAGCCCCGCCTCCGCCGCCGCCGCCACCCCGTGCACCCCCCCGATCGCCAGCGCCGCCTCGCCACCCTTGTTGCGCGCCCTTTTTGCAGGCGCCTGGGCTCAACGCTGCTACGAGACAGGCTGCTTGCCGCAGAGGGCTTCACGGTCGTGTCGGTCCCCTTCTACGAATGGGAGGCTCTGACGAGCAACCAGGCGCGCGGTGCGTACCTGCAAGCCAAGCTGGACGCCGCGGCTGACGCGGCGGCGGCGGGCGGCAGGCGGCGCGCCGGGTAGCAGATCGTGCATGCTCCTGCCTCACCGGGGCGGGGGAGTGGGGGGCGCGCGGCACGCCGACAAACGTGTGTCCTGGGCGGTTGCCGGGAACGGCTGACGGGCGGTGGCGCGTGCTGCTGCACACGCGCTGCACCTCACCGCTCCAGCCTGACAAGTGGCTGCCTGTCGCTTGCACAGCATCTTCTGTGCAGTGGGACCCGCATTACCAACCAAAATTCGCCACACACCGAACCTCATTACAGTTCTAGTTGCAGCAGTCCTGTGCAGCTGTGGAGGCCCCTACCTGCCAATGCCTGCGTGGCACAGGGGCAGTAGGCTGAGCTGTCGTCGCCGTACTGCTGGCATGAGGTGCATTCCTGCCCTCTGCTCATCCATTCTCTGATTCTGTTTCCTGCATAGTACTCGTACAGGGATGTTTTGTCAGTAGCACAAACAGTCTGTGAAGTAATTGGAGCTTTGGATCATGTGACCGGGCTTTGGACCGTGGGGAGGACACAGGGGGCAGGCTATTAGTCTGGTCAGACGGGGATGCAAAGGGTAGCGAGGGATGGCAGGGCGCACCTGCACAACCGTCTGGACGTCGATCAGCACGCTACCAACAAACACCCTCGATATCCTGGCGTAAACCTCAAGTATGCCGGATTGCGCCCACTCCATAACCAGATCATGACCAGATGCCTCGGAATCACCCACTGGGTTGCGCCGGTTTATGCCGGGTGACAGCGCGCGCGCGCCGCGGACAGGGGGCCGTAACCCAGCGTAACCCAGTCACAGGGGGCGGTCAGCTGGTAGGGGCGTTGCTTGCGGTGACAAGCGCACAAGCGAATGTAGTCACAAGAGGGTGCAGGAACAGGAACTTCCGCACCAACTGCATCTACGCATCGCAACCATTCATTCGGCCGCACAATCGGCGAGCATGAATGCATACCGTATGCATATCAGCATGGAACGATGCATGCGCACATGCCCCTACGTACAGTCATTCTCACGCCTGCTATGCCATTCACTGATTGATTGAACACGGGGGCGAATGCGCATGGCATCGGGCTGTCTCCGCAGCACTACATTCATACATTATGCCTGAAGGACCAGCGTGCCACCGCCGCCATCGCAGCTCTAGCAGTGCGGATGCGTTAGTTGTTGAGTCGTATAGCGCCATTGTACTTCTCAGGTCGAGCTTTAAACCCTTTCATAAGGTGCCGTGTAGAAGGGTGTCATCTCCCCGTGGTCGGGACGGGAGTCAACCTTCCTGTTTGATTGCACGCCTGTGCATCCCCTCAGCTGACACCGAATTATTCGAAAGCGACTTGTAGATCCAAGCTTACCGCACAGACGTGCAGGTGCGTTGAGTGTTTTTGCACGTGCAGCACAGCGGCACGCGGCATCCCAAGCCCGTTCGCCTGGGGTACGTGGACATTTGGTTCTAACCAAAGGACCCGGCTCAGCCACCTGCTAGTCTCCGCGCTGGGGCTGCTTGCTGCCGCGGCGTTGCATTGCTGAGATCCTGGGTGGGGCGCACGCCGCTATGGCGTCGTGGCTGCACACACCAGTCTCATAATCCACCGCGCCAGCTAGCCGAGTGCTTGTCCATCCTAGTGTCTTCGTAGCGCAAGTTTACTGCAGTCCGTCACGCGCCCCTCTCACTGCCTCTCGCCTGCCTTGGCCCCCGCCCCGGCCCCCCTTACACACCAGCAGCGCAGCCGCCGCGGCGCCCCGCACCAGCAGCCCCCCGACGGCGACAGCCCCGGCACCCAACGCCATCGGTCACAGGGGCACAGAATGGCGCTGGTATACGCGTTGGTGGTGCGTTCCGCGGATCTCGTCCCCCTGGCGCAGTATGCGGCGGCCCCTGGCAACTTTGAGCCCGAGGCGATGGAGTGCTTGGTTCGCGCCCAGCGCGCCGGCGGCGGCGGCCAGTTCACGGCGCCAGCCAACGGCCTCACCTACACGTTCCTGGCGGCCGGCTTGTACACGGTTGGGGTGGCGGCGGACTGCACGAAGGCGCAGCTGGCGAGCAGGGCGCCCATCACGTGCTGCAAGCGCATCTGCGAGGCCTGGGCGGAGCAGTGCTGGGAGAGGGGCCAGTACACGGCGCCCAGGAGCCTGGACGGCCTGTTTGGGTGAGGGGGTGTGCGAAGTCCGTGCGTTTGGGAGACCGATGCGGAGCGGTTCGCTACACCTAAATACCAGGCCAGTGCCCTCGACAAGCTGGCATCAGGGCAGGGCGCCCCTGCCGAGGGGGGGGGGGCGCGTGCGGCTTACAAGACGAGGGCAACGGCCCCAGGTGCGGTGCATGGCAGGCCCCTACTGCTTCATTTCCCTACTCCCCCAAATTCTCACCCTTTTCTCGATTCTCTTTTGTTTCAGGCCTGTGATGCGGCGAGAGATGGCGAACTGCCAGGCGCTGTTTGAGGAGAAGGACACCAAGGCGGGCGCAAGGGATAGCATGAAGAACTCGCTGCTCGACGGCCCCGCGGTCGACAGCGCCAGCAGCGTGAGCGCCCATTCATCCGCAAGCTGTGGGGTGCAGCTGCGCGCACGCTTGTGGGCGCCGCGTTGGCCGGGGGCCGCCAACCCCACAGCCAGGGGTGCGCTGCTTCCTGGGCTGGCTGCACGCCGCAGCCATGCTGGCACTGTGTGGTGACTTCACCGGGCCCACGACGGATCTCCTCACCCACTGCGCCCTTTCTCAGGTCTTCTTGCATTACGCGGCCCTCAGCCCCGGCAAACCAACCTCAAACCCCTTGTTCGGCCCCAGCCCCGACGACGCCTGGGGGTCGGGGCCCTGGGCCATGGACAAGGGAGATGCGTTTGCAGCTGAAAGCGCCAGGACGCGCCGCAGCCTGTGGTGAGCGTCCAATTGCTGTGAAGTCTGTCTGGGTGCTAGTTCGGCTGGTGTGATGGAGTGTGCTGCGAGTGCCGTTGTTGTGCCAGTTCTGTGTGAGGAGCGAGCAGGAAGGGGGTGGGCCTTGCTGATGTGTCGGAGAATCTGGGGCTTCCCGTGGGATTCGTTGTTCCAGCCTGGCCGGCGGCAAGGAGCAAAAAGCTGTGCTGCTTTGATCCAGTTGAGGCCGCGCTCTGATTCTGGCAGTCAGTGCATGTCTATCTGCCCCGGCGCCCCTGGCTCCTCCCGCCCGCCGCACACCGCCGCGCAGCGCCAGCCGGAGGAACCTGAAGCTGTGCGCCGCAGCGGCCGCTTGCCTGCTCGTCGTCGTTGTGGTGCTGGCGGCCTGCTTCGGCGGCGGCACCAACAGGTGTCGCGCGGCCCGCCCTGCAGCCGCAGCGCCGAGCGTCTCAGAGGCGAAGAAGGCGGTGCAGGTGGCGGCGGGGGCAGCGACCGGCCCAGCCGGTCTCTACACTGATCCTTACGCAGACGACAAAGCTCCCCCCAAGATGTTTGGGCCCATGCCTTTCGTGCCAGGTAGGGTGGCCTTTGCGGCGTGGTGTCCCAAGGATACGAAGCCTTGAATCGATGTTGTTTGAGAAGCAGCGCGCACGCGAACAAGGACGATGCACCCTGCACTGCTGCGGCGGAGCCGGTGGAGTTGCACGGCTGAAGCAGTGGCCTCCCTGTACCCACACAACCTCAACTAGTGATGGATGAGTTCTGTGCCGAGGGCAACAACGTCCACCTGCCTGCCTGCTTCTACTACTGGTGAGTGCTTGCACAGCTTGTTGAGCCTGAAACAGGACGATGGACACCAAGTTTTCCGTAGACAGCTGCGTGCGGGGTGTGGTTCTTGCACGACACCCCAGAGTGTGCGGCGCACTCTTGAGGACTGCGCAGCGCCACACTCTCAGCTGCCCCAGCCCACTTCTGCCTGCAACAAGCCCAACCCTCGGAGCAATGCGCATGTCAGCCACCAGCACTGACGCGCCGACGACTGCACCCGAATCGGGGTTGCTTCCGCAGGTGCATTACGCTGGCCGAGGAGGACGCGCCAATCTGTGCCGCGTACAAGCTCTTCTGCCAGGTGGAGGAAAACGCCCTGCTGCCGTCCTGCACACCGCCCTGCCGCCTCGCGAAGAACCAGGACGACCCGCGCTGCGAGCCCGCCACCAACGTCACCGGCGTCAGTGACGCGAAGAGGCGCTTCTCCAAGGTCTTCGGGCCCATGCCCTTCGTGCCTGGTGAGCAGCGGGGCCTGGCTAGGCTGGGCGCAAAGTCTGCAGTCTGTGCAGACAGGTTGACCATTTCGTTAGTCCGGCCGGCATGTGAATAGCAGCTGCAACGCAGTGCGTACAGCTGCACACATCGCTGGCATCAATGCACCCTCCATGCCCAACCCCAAACTTCACCAGTCATGGTGGACTACTGTGAGCAGGGTGACAACGTCTACACGCCCGCCTGTTTCTACTTCTGGTGAGTCTCTGCTTAGCTCAGGGAATGCGGCAAGAAAGCAGGCTAGTCGGAAGCCTGCATGACAGGCCGCTGGCGACAAGGGGCACAAGTGGGCTCGCCTGACGCGCGGGAGGCATCGGCAAGCTCACGCCCACGCGTTCAAGGCACCACATGGCGATTCACCCTCAAACTCACCTCCATGCTGCCGTCGCACCGCACGACGTCCGTCGATCGCGCCTTGCATCATCATGAGCGCCCGCCCCCCATCTGCGCCTTCGCAGGTGTGACACACGCGCGGAGCCCGACGACCCGCACTGCGCGGCGTACACCCTGTTCTGCCAGAAGCCTGAGAATGCCGAGGCCCCAGAGTGCACGCCGCCCTGCCGCCTGCCCAAAAACTTTGACGATCTCCGCTGCATCCCCGACGGGGCCCAGCCTCCCGGCAACGCCAAGCAGCGCTTCTCCAAGAGCTTCGGGCCCATGCCGTTCGTGCCAGGTGACGCGCCTGGCTTGCCTGGCTTTGCTGGGGTAGCAAGCAGGCGCTTTGAAGGGGAGTTGACCTGCTGCCCAAGCAAGTTGGCTGGTCTTGATGCCCCACAAATGAACACCTCACGACAGCTGAAATTTCCCCTTGCATGAAGTCTGCACTGCCACCTGCTGACTTTTGTGCAAAAACTTGCCTGCCTGCATTCTCATCGCACCAGTCATGAATGACTACTGTGCAAAGAGCGACAACATCTACCTGCCTGCATGCTTTTATTACTGGTGAGCCAAGAAAATGCAGAAAACAGGTCCTGATCGGCGTTCTGAACAAGCCAGGGGTAGAGCTTTTGAATCTTGACACGGTCCAGCAGATCGTGGCTTTTTGCTCAGTCGCAGCGGCCCATGGTGGCTGTGTGCTGCAGACAATGCGCGAGCTTGGCATGTTGGATCGCCGCTTGCAAGGCAGATGCCGACGCCCTCAGTTGCACTCCCCCTCTCGACCAGAAACATCCCTTTGCTTTGCACCGGGCAGGTGTGACAACAAGGCGGCCGAGGGCGATCCTCAGTGCGAGGCTTACCAACTCTTCTGCACCCAGACAAAGCATTCCAAGGGGCCCCTCTGCACGCCGCCTTGCAGCCTGCCAGAGAACAGCGCTGAGACCCGCTGCAAGCCCGCAGCAAAGCCCTCGGCGGCCGAGGCCGGCCGCCCTACCGGCTGAGTCCAGCTCCTGCCCACACAAACAATCTTCATGCTCGAGGCCCACCTGCCACGCCAACTGCTCGCATTGGCCCCTGCGAGCAGACGCGCAGAGCCCAGGCTGCCACTGCTGCGCTGGACTGTCCCCGACAAAGGCGCCCTTCATTGCCAAGGCCGCTTTTCCACCCTCGCTCGCACCACATGTCACTGGTTGGCGTAGCATCAACATTGAGCATTTTGTGCTGAAACGTGGGGCTCATGAGACGAAGCGGCTTGGGCGCCGCAGAGTGTGCATATTTCCTGACATCTACATGCGCATGCAAGCTTCGGCTTCAATTGATTTTCTGAGCACTTTCAGCTCGAGCTTGCTGCTGCGGCGTCCGCGGCTGCACCGCATCCTGTCGCCCTCCTCTGCATGCTCAAGTTTGTTGGGTGGACGGCATTCCCTACTCATAATCACACCTTGCATCTGCGCGGCCCTGTCCTTTCGTTCAGGCCTGCCCGCTTCAACCGTCACTGCAGCCCCTTAACAAGCACTGAGTCTCACGTCACTCTTGAGTTTGCGCGCTCCCAGTATCTTTGGCCTGCCTACCCGCTGCACTCACTGCTATTGCAATCGCCCTGCTCTGCTGAACTGCCGTCGTGGCAACGAAGAAGTCGCAGGCGTGTGCCTGCCCCTCTGAGTCTCCAAGTCAATGGTTATCATCCACACACGCGCCGCCACATTACTCCCACTCTGCCACAGCGCGACCCCACCCCACCTGTGTGGGTGCGGCACCAAGGTGGTGCCAGGCACGGGCGCGGGATTGCTGATCTTCTGATGCATGGGCTGCACATGTACCTACCATCATGCGGTCTGCCTGTACCCCACCCTCTGACTACCTGCGTACTGCTGACGCCCAAGGTCTGGGCAGGCGTACTGCCTCAACCAGGGGGGGGCTGCCGACAGCTTCTGCAGGCGTCACTCCGCATCCGGCCTGCTGGTGGCCAATAATCACCAGGCTCTGGGCAGCGCAACACCACTCACCCGTGACCAAGCACACGTTGTGCTGCTTGTTGGCGCGTCTGAGGGCGTTGCAATTGCCAAGTACTGCATCCGGTGCAGCGCGCTAGTGTGCACGGGCCGTCATGCGTATCGAGCCTTCTTTCTCATAGCTGTTCAAGGTCAAAGCGGGATGCACGCATTCTATCCACTGCATGTGCTCATCAGTCCAATTGTAACTGGCAGCTTGCCCGTGTGTCTACGTTCTTGACTCAGCTGAAAGCAGTGCGTGAAGATGAGCGTTGAAACGGAGAGTTGGCTGCAGCGTGCCAGCATAGAACCCTGCAGCTGCCCGCCTGAGTCACTAGATGATGCCAACGAGCAGAGAGCAGACAGACAGACCGAACTTCAGCCTTGCAGGCCACCCCCACTGGCTCACTACACGCGCCACAAACAACAGCAGCGCTTTATTACATATTTTACACAGCTAGAATTACATTTGAACACTAAGCGCTGTGAGTCATGCCGCCCTGCGGGACGCCAGGTACGCGCGGTACGACTCGAGCAGCTGCTCCTCCCATCCCTTGCTGGGGTCCGGCGGTACGATGCTGTCCTTCACGCTCTGCCGGTCAAGCACTACAGCCTGCCACGCCTTGACCCTGTCCAGCCCCTCGGGCACCTTGTAACCGATCAGGCCCTGGAGCAGCGACACGCGGATGACGAACGGCGTCAGCGCCGCGTCGGCGAGCGTGAAGTTCGCGCCGGCGGCGTAGGGGCCGGTGGGGTCGAGGGCGGAGTCCAGCCACGTCAGCGCCTCCCCGAGGGCTTTGCCGGCCGCGGGCGCCTCATCCTCTGAAGCAAAAATCGCCTGTGTTGGGGTGGGGCGCATCCAAGGGCGGGGTCGGGCGGTGCGATTCCGGATGCGAATGGTGCGACGGGGCGGCGGGGCCAGCGCACTGTAATGCAGGGTGTTTGATGTCACGGCCAGCAGGCTTTTTCTCCAGACCATGTGCGCCGATGTTCCTGCGTTGGGTGTGCACTATGTATGCTCTGATTTGGCCGTGTCTGCCTTGCTGTGATGCAGTACCTCAGGCCGCACCTTCCCAAACGCCGGCCCGACCTTGGCCCCGAACTGGTCAATAAGCAGCCTGACCTACGCACAGTAAGAGGGCGGGTGCGTGTCATCTTGGGCCGCACACAGGCATGCACACTTGACAAATGTGAGTACCTGCAACATAGTCAACGGAAGGCGCCTTTTGCGACGGCAAAACACAGATGTTGCAGCAATCTCAGCGGAGCGGCCCCGAGCGTAGGGGCTGCGCACCTGCGCGCGCTGCACTGGGTCCTCCGGCAGCAGGCTGGGGCCCTCAAACGCGTCCTCCACAAACTCGTTGCAGATCAGGCTCTGTAAAGATGCGATGAAGCGGGTGTCAAGTTTGAGCTTGTGTTATGGGCAAAATTTGTCACAAAAAGGTGATCTTGAACCACTACAGAGGCTTGGCCGTGAAGGTGCTGCCTAGCTGGGTGCCCGGATTCGGAGGGGTGCTTGCGTACGACGCAGGTGAGTAGACAGCTATCCTGCACGACCAGCGACAAGCGCTTGCGTTCAGGAGGCCCCAGGCCACCTGCAGCGCTTTTGACGTCTCAGAACCTAGCCGTTTCCACGTCCAATTTTTCGGCGCGCAACCACGGCTCTTGACAGCCCGTGCTCCCCTGCGCGGACGTCGCTCGCCTGCAGGCCTTCAAGCCGCTGGCCGCCATCTGCACGACTGTGTGTGCGTGTGTGCGCATGAGGGCCTCACCTCGTACAGGCTGTGCGTGCCGCGGCCGTCCTTCCAGGCCAGGGTGGGCACGCGGCCATAGGGGTTGAGGGGGAAGAACCACTCAGGCTTCTCCTTGAGGTCTACAAAAACGCGGTTGTACTTGACCCCCTTCTCGTTCAGGGCAATCCAGGTGCGCTGTTGAGGGCGGGCGGTGCGTGTGGGTGGTGGTTGGCTCGTGGGCGCGTGTGCATGCTGGGTGGGGTGGGCTGTGCCCGGTGCAACAGGCAACTGCCGACAGACAGCAGCGCCGGCCCCGAGGGCCCCGCCCCGCCTGTTGACTGCCGCATCTGTGCTGTTCTTACGACAGCTGCTGGCCCGGTGCAGGCTGCAACGCAGCAAGTTCGCAAATGGCATGTCACCAGCCCATGACGTCATCAACTGACGACCGACCAAACCCTTGAGCGCACCTGAGCATAAGGGCAGTTCCACGTCTGCGCGGGTCCGGCATTTGAGGGGTTTGCCCGTGATGTAGGCAGTGTGTGGTGAGGGCGGGCACGCGGCGGCGCGCGACGCCTCGCAGCTACGTGCACTTCACGGCACTCGGCTGGAGATCAGAGCCTGCACATGATCTCGCCATGCGACTCATTGTAATGTGACTGCGCATGAGACGATGCAAAACTTCGCCGCACAGAAATGATGGAGCTGTTGCCCCAGTGACGCACCGTGATGAACGTCGGCGCGTCAAATGTGCCCAGTTCTGGCTGTGTAGAGCCCTTTGAAAGCACCTCCGTGGCCATGGTGTCGCTGGCAGCAGCCCGCGCGCCGATCAGGCGGCTTCTAGCAATGAGCTCACGAGATGAATTGAAGCGTGAAAGGCTTTGCTGTGCGCTAGGAGCCGCACGAAGCATCTGGATCGCGTGTGCCGTGTGACAGGTAAACGCGTGTGAGAGACGTATATGAGGAGGGCATGTACTATCTTGGCTGCGTGCAGTTGCATGACCATTGGCAACTGTTCATCACCACCCATGCAGTCACTCGGCAGTCACCCCATCATCACCAGTCGCTCTCTGAGACCAGCCAAGGTGGCTTTGATGCTGGCTGAAAGCCCAACATGAAGATGAGAGAGAGAGAAAAAAATTGCAAGTCATGGAGAATGTCATGATTGCAGAGAAGCAGCGGGTGCATAAGCCCCGGCTTGGTCGAGGATTGGCAGCAGCAGGAGGCCTGGCACACGTGTACCCAAGGTGGGGCGTGTAGTGGCAAGGTGAGAATGCGATGTACGCAGACGACATACATACTTGCTCGTCCTTGGAGCATCGCCACATCGCACCAAATCAATGTGTACGCAGGTGCAGCCATGCTCTGCGCAACCTATTGCCTAATGCGGCTTGCGGGAACCAGAAGCAACGGCAGCCGCAACAGTAACAGCTTGTCAGATTGTTTCCTCTGTATCAGACCTTGTGTAGCAGGCGGTGGCATGTAGTAGTAGGGCGGCCAAGCGGGGCCAGTGTAAACGTTGCCAGGGGTTGAGGCCAGGGGTGCAGGATCTGGCCAGTCTTCAGGCAAACACCGGCCACTTGCTGCCGGTATTGAATCAGCACATCCCAGAGATTACGAGGACAAGGATGATTGGCAGTGAAAGCTGGCAACAAGCCATTGGCATATGCAGTATCGGTGCACAGCCTGCGCACCGCGCGCGGCGGCGTTCAACATGGCTGCCTGCAGGTGTTGACCGGGGGGTCAGAGAAAGCCCTCAGCATCGAAGGACAGCAAACCCACAGCATACTGCAGCAAGCATTATGATGCAGGTTGTAATTGTCTGGTCGAGGGCAAGCAGCCATGGCGGTGCGGCAAGGATGAGAGAGCTGCAAGTCACGTGCTGTATGGGTGGCGAGAAGAATGCATGCGCAGCCCTCCATGCCGTCCAGCCCTCCGTGCAGCCATTCACAACCCATCAGGTAGCCAAAATGGTGTTTACATGTCCTGTGGTCGCCGTGAGCGAGCCTACTGCAACTCAGAGCGCGATCTACAGGCGCCAGACATCCGCGGAGGGCTTTCCGACGTTGGACGGCATCGAGACGCTCTATGAGTCGTTCGAGAAGAGCGTCACCCAGCACAAAGGCCTGCCTGCGCTCGGCTGGCGCGAACTCGACAAGGTCAGCCCTCACACACCCATGTCTCAAAAACGCACGGGATCGATCATCAGGGCAACACCGCGTTGATTATTGTCTTTTGAACAGGGGATTGGCAAGTGATGGAGCACAATGGGCCGCCGCTCACATCCGAGGGGTGCAGCGGCAATGTGCACAGCGCACACAGCGCCCCTTGCCTTCCCCTGCTGCAGGATGTTGTTGGGCCCTACAAGGCCTAGAGGATTTCACCTGAGATATTGGGGCCGCATTGCTTTGGGTTGTAGTACAGGAATCTCCAGGCCTGCAGTGAGCACATGCCTACCACCACCAAACCAGAGCCAACTGGCTCCGCTGTTGTGCCCAGCTGCAACACGAAATCGTCGACCGCACCCGTTCACTGTGTCGCAGGCTACCGGAAATGTCGGTGATTTCCAGTGGATGACATATGGGGAGGCAGCAGAGCGCGTGGCGCACATCGCTTCGGTGAGCGCCGCCCCCTGCACAATCGGGCCGGACAAACATACGGCACGCCAGACAAACATAGTTGGCGCCGCGCCCGACCAGGCGGCGCTGACACGCGTGCCTGCGCCGGCTGCGGAACACTAGGTGGGCTGTCAGCGGCTGTTGAGGCGCGGCAGCAACCGCGCCCGCAACGCCGACTGCGAAGGGGCGTGCAGCAACGCTTCTCGTACTTAACACCCCCCCTCCCTTGGCTTCGTTTCGTACCCCAACCACCGCCCGCCGCCTCTCAATTTTTACCAGGCCCTCGCTCAGCTGGGGATTGTGGCGCAGGACCGTGTGGGGGTGTATGGCGCCAACTGTCCCGAGTGGATGATCGCCATGCAGGTGGGTGGTGGTGAGGGCTGCAGGAGCGCGATGAGGTGTGGTGTGTGCGGAAGTGTGTGTGTATGTATGTGTGTGTGTGTGCGTCTGTGTGTATGTGCACGAGTGTGTGTGTGTGTGTGCGTGTGTGTGTGTGTGTGTGTGTGTGCGTGTGCGCGCGTGTGTGCGCACGCGCGAGGGGACACGGGAGGGGATACGGTACGATAGAAACGCGTGCAACAGGTGACGCCCAAGTAGAGGGTTGAGGATGCAGACGGTTTGAGTGGAGGATCGCAGTGCAGGACCGCTGATGCGCAACCCAGAGGCCTCCTGGAATGCTTGATCGCTGTGAAGGCGCGACCGTGCCTGGGAAGTGGATGCGAGGGTGTGCTGGCGTGGTGTTGCCGGGCGTTCCCCTTGCCCCGGCGCCGTCACCACCGCCGCCCCCTTCCGAACGCCTCCCCCTCAGGCGTGCAACCGGATGTCGTACGAGTGCGTCCCGCTCTACGACTCTCTGGTGAGTCAGCGACCACGCTCCCCGTCCATCCAGGCAGCTGTTCAGAGTCTTGCACACAGCAGCGAACACCCCGGCAACCTAGGCTCAACCTCTCAATTCTTCACTCTCAAGGCATCCGCCGTCCAGCACTCAGCGCCTTTCCCGTGCTGATTACATGCACGAAAGACTTGCTGGGTGCTGCCGGGATGCGGTTGTTCCCTTCCCTCAACACCGCTTGCCAACCGACCAGGGCGACAACGCGATCGAGTTTGTGGTGCGGCACAGCGAGATGGTGGCGGTGGTGGTGGCGGCGGGCAAGCTGGCCAAGCTGGCAAAGGGCCTAGAGGATCTGCAGGTGAGTCGTGGTCAGGAGGACGCCGCATCCTTCTCCGGAACTGAGCAGGCCACCAGAAGCTGCCTGGAGGCTACGAGAGGGCTGTGGAGGCTGCCCAGAAGCTGCATTCTCGTCGGGGCGGGCGTTGGGAGGTTGGGCGACAGCTTTACGCTGTAGCAAGGGGCAGCATTGTTGTTTGGGGAAGCAGTCCCATGAACCGCGTATCGCTGGCTGCCTTTGCCCCGCCAAATGCAGGCGAGCGGTGAGGGCCGCGTGAAGAGTGTTGTGCACTGGGGAGAGGGCGCCGACGCGGCCGCCATCAAGGTGAGGGGTGCTTTTGCACCGGCCCTTGCTGTCCAGGTCTCGAGTGTGGTCAGATTTGAAGCTGCGTGCTTGTCGTCTGGACCTATCAGGCTATCAATGGAGTGTGCTGTGCGCGCAGCAGCATGCAGCTCGCCGGCGCAGCGTCGCATCTGCACATGCAGGCACACAGCAGCCCAGTCGCTGGATGGTTTGTTGGTTCCCATTCAGCCGCGCCTGCCAGCCCCGCCTTGCCACTACTGAGTCACACACGGTCGCCGTGGCCATGATAATTAATCTCAGTCGCTCGAGTCCAAGGGGTTCAAGGTGCTGAGCTGGGGGGATGCCCTGGACGCCGGCGCCGCGTCACCGGCCGAGCCGGTGCCGCCGTCGCCTGATGACTACTGCACCATCATGTACACCAGCGGCACGACGGGTGAGAGCGCTGGCTGTTAAGATGACCCACGTGTGCCCTTGCACCTTATGATGTCCCAACACGCATGCACCAAGCAGGGATCAGCAGCCCCCTGACAGGCAGTGCCATGGGGCCCTTGTTCATCCGGAGTTGCGCCCGCGCAGCCACCCCTTGTCCGTCCAGCAAGTGTCTTGCCCCCTGGTCCGGCAGGCACATCTCACTGGCGCTACCCCCCCTTGAACCCACAGGCGACCCCAAGGGCGTGCTGATCAAGCACAGCGCTGTGGTGGCGGCGGTGGCAAACGTCATCTACTACTGCAAGGTGGGTCGGTGACAACGTCACCGGTGACGCCCGTGCATGGTGGTCCTGCGGAGGGAGTTGCGGCTGGGTTTCTTGCTGGATTCAAAGCATCACTGGCGACTCTGGTCCATTCTTCCTCCACAGGCGCCCGACCTCGCTCGGCTGTGCCGTATCGCGCTGCCATGTCACCACCAAACTAACCGTGGTTGCAGTGTCATAGCTGCTGCAACGCCCCAACTTGCCCGCTCCCACGTCGGCCCTTGCCTGTCAACCAACCCTCTCGCAGGAGATTGATTACGAGGTCGGGCCCGGGGACAGCCTGCTGTCATACCTGCCGCTGGCGCACATCTTTGACAGGTGCGGCGCTGCGTCAGAGGTTCGAGGCATGCGCATGCCCGTGCGCTTTGCTTTGGTGCCGGTGTGCCTGGTGAGGGGGCACCCCTGATAGACGCTGGTGCCCGCATCTCAGGGCCTTGCCCTCGGCTGTACGCTGTGGCTTCCTGCTCTAGTTCGCTCCTTGTCGCGTGTGGACAATGCCGGCCCTGGCCTGTTGCCACACTCACACGATCCCCCACAACACACAATTACAACCACAACCGCGCACACCAACACAAAAGGGTGGCGGAGGAGCTGGTGCTGCACGTCGGCGGCCGCGTCGGCTACTGGCAGGTGTGTGCTGGATTTAGGTTGCACCATTCGGCTTGGTCAGTGTCGTTGACCACGATTCGCCTCGGCTGATGCTGCTACAGTGCACCCAGGGCCGACATTGGATTCTGAGCCTTGGGCGGCCTACCACACGTTCATGAGAGCACCTCCAAAAACCTTGCCCGCCACCCGGCCCTCCCCCAAAGTTGCAGTAATCCTGCAACCCCTGGGTAGCCCCCAGCGTACTCCCCCCCCAAGCATACTGTACATGCTCGTACTTTTCATACTCATGCTCTTCATACTTGAACACACCTCCTCCCTCTACCCTTTCTCACCTACACACACACACACACACACACATGCACACACACACACACACATGCACGCACGACCTGACACACCCCACCACAGAACGACACCACAAAGCTGATCGACGACATCGGCGCCCTCAAGCCCACCATCTTCATCGGGGTGCCGCGCATCTTCGACCGGATCCACGCCGCAGTCACGGGGCAGATCAAGAAGGCCAGTGAGTCTGCAGTGACGCATTCGCCAGGGGCAAGCGAGGTCGACGGCAGCAGACGGCTGCGCCTGGGCCATGCCTGAGCCTTGGCCGTGCGACCCGTGAGCGTGGGGCGCAGGGTCACTAGCACCCGTGGTGGTGCTCATCACGCCGCTCTACACCTGTCTGACTGCAAGCAAAATTACTTCCACCAGAAGCAGCCGAGCTGAACCTGCAGCTGCCCTCCCATTATGCTTCCACCCCTGCCTCCCCCAGCGATACCCACCTCTGACCGCCCCCCCCCCAAAAAACCTCCTGCGAGCGACACTCTACACCCTCATGTTGGCTTGCCCATGTATCAATTGTATCAACACCGCATTCACAACCTTGCTTTGCTCCCAAGGCCCGATCAAGAAGTTCCTGTTCCACTGGGGCTTTGCGCGCAAGAGGTTCTTCCTGCAGAGCGCCTTCAGCCAGGAGGGGGCAGCCCCATTCTTCGACAAGCTGGTGTTCAGCAAGGTTTGAGGGGGGCTGGGGGGCGCGCAGGGCTGCAAACACTGGGCGACGGAGGGCGGCTGCAGGGGCCGTTACGACCAAAGATAACGCGTTGTTTGGGGGCGCTTATCGGCTTGCGGCAGACGTTTGCGCCAGCCAGGACCGGGCCCCTCGCGATTTTGCTTGTGGCCACTGTCCTCTGGCCAACCCACCTGGGCCGGCCAAGCCCTGCAGGCCGCAGAAAAACGGACCGGTAGACCAAACTACCGGCAACCACCCCTCAATCACACCCACACCCTTCGACTGCCGCAGGTCAAGAAGCGCCTGGGCGGGCACGTGAAGGTCATCATCAGCGGCGGCGCCCCCCTGGCGCCCCACGTCGAGGAGTTCCTGCGCGTCGCCATGTGCGCCCCCGTGGTGCAGGTGAGGGCCGGGGCTGCCTGGCGCATATCGCGGCTCCAGGAGCTGTGGGCGGGACGACGGCTGGGACGGTGACTCTCGGGGCCGTGGGGCGGGGCGGGTACAGACGGGGAGCGGGGATAGGGCCACCCCCTGTGCCGGAGCCGTGCAATTCTTGGAATGGTATGATTGAGAAGGCGACCGCTTTCAGAGTATCAAGTCTCCCGATGGACGCCGGCACCACCTGCCCTGCCGCACAACACTCTATCTCGTCTCATCACGTTGCTCCCACGCCTCCCTTCCCCCCACCCCACGCCAGGGCTACGGGCTCACAGAGTGCTGCGCGGGCGCGTCCATCGCTATCGCGGACAACTGGGAGCAGTTTGCGACAAACGGCCCGCCGCTGCCCTGCATCGAGATCCGGTTCGAGAGCGTGCCCGGTGAGCCTGCGAGGGAACGTCCACATCATCACCCCTGACAGTGCTACGTGTGCCGTCGTGTGGCAGTGATGCAGTCGCCCTTGGCTTGCACAAAGCCCCATGAGACAGACCAATCATGTCCGTCCAAACACGCTCAAAGAGCCATGGTTTGAAAACCGCTGTGAAAGCACACCTGTCGTCACCAAACTTGCAAGAATGGTTTTTCTTTGTCCCAGCAAGCAGTACTGCCTGTCACACCAGGGTCTGCCGTCACCAAATCAAACCAAATCCAAATATCCCACCCAGAGATGGGCTATGACGCCACAGACAAGGCGGCGCCCGCGGGTGAGGTGCTGCTGCGGGGCCCCTGCCTGTTCAGCGGCTACTTCAAGCAGCAGGACAAGACCGAGGAGGTGGGGGGAGGAGGCGGGCGGGTGTGTTTTCGAGGGACCTCGAACTCGTTTGTGTCGTGCGATTTGTTTGTGTGTGGGCGCAGGGTGTGTGTGCATGCAGAGGGTGATTCAGGGCTTCAGACGGCACATTGTGAGCAGACGGCAAGGAGCTGGGCGCAAGCACTCTGCATGCCCCATGAGTTCACGAGTCCATGCGGCTTTCGTCCTGCGCTGCAAGGTCTTTTGGGCAGCCTGAAGGCGGCGATGTTGGCAGCGATTTGCGTGCATGCCAAGCCCTCTTTGTCCCAGCCCCATCATCAAACCCAAACTCACATCTATCCTTCAATAATCATCAATCTTTGCAACAGGTCGTGGACTCTGACGGCTGGTTCCATACGGGGGACATTGGGACGCTGACGTCATCGGGCGCCCTCAAGATCATCGACCGCAAGAAGAACATCTTCAAGCTCAGTCAGGTGCGCGCGATCTGGCTTTGATCTGAGGTGTGACCTGGACGCCATGTTGGTGCTGGTGGAAGTCACATAACATCACTGTCCCTGGGGTTGCGGAAAGGCATGCAGCTCTGCTCAAACCCAATTTTTTCAATACGTGACAACAGGGGGAGTACATCGCTGTGGAGAAGCTGGAGACGACGTACAGCAAGGCGCCCCCCGCAGAGCAGGCAAGCGCGGCCTCAAGCGCGCGCGCTGTCCGGCTGCTCGCTCGCCCTGCCTGTCAGCCCAACAGCGCGCCGCGGCGTGCGAGCGCCGAGTGACCTCCCCTGAACCATAGCCGGGCTCGCTCTTCGCACCATTCTCTGCCCACTCACCATCAACCGCTCTCTCTCCCACCCCCGTTCCCTTCACGCGTTCACCTGTAAATCCACCCCCCAAAATTCAACAATGCGTTGCAGGTGTGGGTGTATGGCGACTCCTTCCAGTCAAAGCTGGTGGCTGTGGTGGTGCCCAAGCAGCACGCGCTCCAGGACTGGGCCAAAGCACAGGGCAAGGAGGGTGAGCAACGCTGACAATTGACACATTCATGTGGGGCCTAGGTAGCAGGCAGCGAGCAAAGCGGGAGTGTTCAGCGGCATCAAGATGCATCGACAGCCGAGCGATGCCCTCGCTCCACGCGAAAGTGCGGCGTAGGCGCACAGCCCCGCGCACGGCTGTCTGCATGCATCAACAGCCTTGAACGAACGTCCATTTGCATGCTGCTCAGTCGTGGCCGAAATACCATCAACGCACGTCGAGCCAGTCACGTCGTTTGAGGAGCTCTGCCGGGACCCTGAGGCCGCGGACTGGGTGCTGAAGCAGCTGGCAGCCGCGGGCAAGGCGGACCGGCTCAAGGGCTTCGAGCGCATTGCAGCGGTGAGTGGCGCGCACTCGCGGCGCCCTCGCACGCCCAGGGGTACCCTCTAGCTCCTCACGCAACGCCTCAGGGGTACACATCCGCCCTTGGGTTTCTCCCGTATCGTGCAGGCTGGCCTCGCGCCCCAGCCGCTCTTCGCGCCTCCCCGGGACTCCACTTTCCTGCAACCCTCTTGTGCGGTGCCAGCTGTCGTGGCCCCCTTCTGTCTTGGCTGGCCGTCGCTGACCCGGCTTGCAGGCACTCTGTCTTACCCTCGTTCTTGGCTGGCGGTCGCTGACACGGCCTCCAGGGTCTCCTACTTACCCTCATTTTCCTGGGATCCCTGGCCACGGCCAAAGATGCGGGGTGCACCCTGCACTCTGGCATAACTCAGCAACCCCCAAGCATAACGCCCCACCCCAAACCTCATCATCTGCGCTGTCAAACAGGTACACCTCGACTCGGAGCCGTTTGGCATTGAGAACGACCTGCTGACTCCGACCTTCAAGCTCAAGCGCGCGGCTCTCAAGAAGCACTACCAGGTGCAGCGCGGCCCTCTTCTCGGTGTCTTTTCGCCCCTGCCCCGCCCTACCCGCTGCTGTGGCAGTGTTTGAGTCGCCCCTGCCAACGCACAGCCTGCATGCCAGTCATGTGCTCCTCGCTCCCGGGCCCGTGCTTCCAATTCAAGAACCCAAGCTGACCTTGATAAACTGCTACCCCGCCAACCCCCAACACATGATGCGTGTTCGTCCCTCCACCACACAAGGCGGACATCGACCGGCTGTACGCAGACCTGAATGCAGCCGCCGCAGCTGCACCCGCGGGCCCGTGAGCTATGGCCGTCGGGAGCCGCCGATGCCACTGGTTGTTCGCCGTTGCTGGGTACGGCGCGCGGCGTCGGCCCCACGCTCTGCCTGACACTGAGAGCACGGCTGTCAGAGCGCCTAGGTAGGTCGGCTGCCGGCCTAGAGCCGCCGCAGGCCTGACGTGAAACGACTGCCCTCGGCCGGGGTTGCAGCCGCTCTGGATGGGGCATGTCTGCGCAGTACTTTCTTGCAGGAGAGGCGTTCATGCCAGTCAGCTCGTGACAACGTTTGGGGCCCTGATGTGTCCTCTGACCATGGTTGAGGGGAGCTGCCGCCGCACAAAGCCTGTGCGCATGGGGGGTTGCTGCTCATGTTGCACCGCGTTGATGCACGTTGAAACAGAGAGGATTTGCCTCCCGCATTGGATTCCTGCGAACAAAACAGCACCAAGCAACACAGCCCAGCTGCAAAATTGCAAGTTTGCTTTTTGCACCACGGGCAAGACAGTAACGATACATTGAAAAAGCGACTACATGCTCACCAACTGAGACATGATGTTATCTGTAGGGTTCAATGATCAGTGAGTATAACAAGGTTTGAGGCCTGGTGCACCCTAGCTCAGATTTGCTTTATGTTGGTGTTTGATCGCCGCCAGAACAGTCCTGCAAGCACCGCGTCTTCATAATGCAACTGAGACGCTTGGTGGATTGTGTAAATGGGCTGCTAGTTATTGGCATGTACTGTAGCAAGGGGACCATCACGGCATTGGCCAAGCGGGTCCACCACTTCAGAAGCAGATGCACATCTGTTTTTGGCGCATGGGCTGGCAGCATCAGGGTCATGGTCACAAAGTTGGGCGCTCGCTGCCCGTCATGTGTGTGCTGTGCAATATGTGCTCCATTCCGCCATGCGCATCTGCGTGTACGACGTGGCTGCCATCCAGGTACACAGGGGGATCACTTTTGAGGGGGCTCCAGTTGAACTGCTACTCTGTGCAGGAAGGTCCAGGAACAAGGATAGTTTCAACATGACTGATGTGGATCGATGCAACATATTCATCTTTGCATGACAACCAGCAAACCAAGGCAACAGGCGTAACGTCAACGAGCTGGCGGTAACCGCCGGTGAGTCGTCGACTCAGAGTTGAGCAAGTCAGTGTGCACCTGCATGGCGACAGGCTCGCTGTGTCATCGCTCTGGCCTGCCGTGGTTACCATCGCTGCAGATGCTACCCGTCCAATGGCACTATACACACCCGCTTTGAACCGCCAACCCATCAGATCACTGGATCCCTGTTCGCAGGTCTCGCTTTTTTGCTCTGAAATTCAGCGTACGCAAACAGCAAAGGCAGCGTACATCGTGTGCTCTCGCGTGGCGCCCTTCTTCTTGAGGATTGCGTGCGGTCACACGTCAGCGCGCCCACAACGTGCACGTGTGGCACCAGCACTGACCATTGGTCCACCCGAGTAGTGCGTGCGCATGTGCGCCGAAGCAGCCACTCTCTCAACTGAGTGCGTCTCCTAGATAGGATGCTGCCCCGCATCGTCGGCGTCGGCGTCACGCCACTGTCGCAGGGCGCAGCCGGGGCAGCTGCGCCGACGCCGACCGCGCTCATCCTGCAAGCGCTGCGGCTCGCCCTCGCTGACGCGGGCGGCGGCGCCACCAGCGCCAGCCGCGGCCTGCAGCTGTCCGACCTGGACGGCTTGATCGCGCTGCCGAGCCTCATGGGCAGCGAGCAGTTCATGATGGCCCACGCGGTCGCGGGCGCCGCCGGGCTCTTTGAGGCGCGGCAAGGGCGGCGGACGATCGTCAGGACCCTCGACGTGGGCGGTGCCGGGTGAGGGGCGAGCATGCGGCACACTAGAGAAAGCCACGCATTCATGCATCAATCAGTTGCGTTCCGGGAGGATACGTGGTACTGGCTGCAGCCACAATGCCCCCAACGGTCCAATCGCGCCCCGCCCGGCCTCGCAGGCCGGTCGCAGCGCTGCTGATGGCGGCCCGGATGGTGGCTCATGAGGGCTGCGGCTCGGTGGCTGTTGTCGCCGGCGACACCCCAGGCTCGGCCACGCTGGAAGAATTCCTGGCCCGCGCCGACGCCGCCTGCCGCCTGCCTGGCCCCGAGCCCCTGACTCGGGCAGCCGCCACACCGGCGCTTGCCAGCCGAGCCAGCCGCAGCGGCGGCCTCGCTGGCGGCAGCGGCAGCAGCAAAAGTGCCGACACCAGCGGCGGCGGCGGCAGCGGGGTGGCGGCAGCGGCGGACCAGTGGACGGTGCCGTCACCCGTTATCCCCAACCTGTACGACGTCATCGCCAGGTGGCAGATGGCGCGGCATGGCGTCACCCGCGAGCAACTGGTGGGCTCGAGCTGCACTCATCGCGCCAAGGCAGCCTGGGCGCTGCGGCGTCGCATGCACGCACGCGCGTCGCCTTAGCGTGCAACGCACTGCTTGGCGCCACGCACAGCGACGCATGCAGCACACTCTGCCGTCTGAGATGCTTGAGCCAACCCTCCGGCACTCCTGGAAACGCACGCTTGCTGCAACCCCTGTTTTTTTCACCCCCACAGGCCATGGTGGCTTCATTGATGACTCTGCAGGCGTCCCGCCACCCCTTGGCGCTGCAGAGGCGGCCGCGCACGGTGAAGCAAGTTCTGTCTTCCCGGCAGGTGGGGCCGGGGGGATGCACGAAGCCGGCCGCGCAAGCCTTGGGTTAAGGGTTTGAAACCTGGCGGCCTGTGGCGGCTGCAAGATTGCGGGGTCGATGCCGAGGGGGCCGCGTCTGCCATGGGCTGCACCTCCAAGATTCAGCCCTGCATCCGGCCGCGCGCAGAGCTCGTAGCACTCATGGGCATCGCACGCTCCAGCCTGCGTCGGAGTCGACACTCCAGCTCCCTCCTGCTGCCAGCTTCTTGCATACAGCGGCCCCATACCACGCTCCCTTCACTCTCCGTAATAGCATAACATGAGGACGCTCCCCAACCCGCAGGTGGCGCCCGTCGCCACCGCCCTCGAGTGCGCCAAGCGCGTCGACGGTGCGGCGGCCATCATTGTGGCGTCGCCCGCCTTTGCGCGGCAGCACGGGCTGCCTGAAGCCAGGGGTGAGCCACGAGCGACAGACCTACAATTTGAAGCTTCCAAGGTTCCCCCTGAGCCCTCAATTGACTGGCCCAACCCTGGCTGCTTGTGCACAAGTGAAATCGGTCAGGGACGCTTTCAGGGCATGCCTAGTCGCGCATCTTGCCTGCATTCCCACTCCAGCCAGCCGGTACATTCCAGCCGCGTGTGGCACATTCTTCTCACAGCTGCCCTCATGCCCCCCGCGCATTGTGCAGCTGTTGAGGTGCTGGGCGGCGGGGAAGCTTCCGGCCCGCCGGTGCCGCCGGCTGACATCACCGACACAATGTACGCCTCGGCAGCTCAGGCAGCGGCGGCTGCGTTTGCAGATGCCGGCGTGGCGCCCGGCCAGGTGCACTACTGGTCCCTGTATGACTGCTTCCCGGTGTGCTTTATCAGGTGCGCACGCGGCAGGGTGGTGTCACCCTCGTCACGTTGTGTAAAGCAAGCGTCTGACAATCGCCCAAACCATGCCTCCGGGGGCATGAGCTGGTGGCACTGATGATGGTCACATTGCCGCCTGCTCGTCCCACCATGATACCAATCTTGCAAACCTGGAAGAAACGTCCGGCGGACCTACCAGGGCAGCTTTGTCGCCCGCCCTGCACCACCCCCGCCAGGGCGCTAGAAGCGGTGGGGCTGGCGCCGGAGGGCGGTGGCGGGCGGTACGTCGAGCGCGCCTACAAAGCAGCCGCCAGCGGCGACGGCGGCGCCGCCGCGAGGGCAGGCGGCGAAGGGCAGCACGGCTTGCAAGCGCTGCCGCCGCAAGATTTCCCCATCAACACACACGGCGGCCTGCTGGGGCTGGGGGCCCCTTGGGAGGTGCGCCCTGCCTTCCTGCACCAGTCTCCTTTCGCCGCAGCGGGTTCAACGCCGTTTGTCCTGGATCACCGATCGGTTTCGCCTCCTCTCACGGCGAACGGCCTCCATACATGCCATTAGCACTCACGCTCCATGCCCTCACCCAGGTCCCTGCCATGCACGGCATCGCAGAAGCCGTCTCGCAGCTGCGGGGCGACGCAGGCGACCGGCAGGTGCCCGGCGCGCGGCGCGCGCTGGTCTACGGCAACGGCGGCATCCTGAGCGCATCCGCAGTCGCGATTTTGGGGCGCTGCAACGCACCCTCTGCCAAGTTGTGACGGGCCAGATGCCATTTGGGGCTGCTCTTGCACTGACTCGAGTTTTGCTGGCACCCTTTAGGACGCGCTGCACCTGAGAAGGAATGGGTGAGCTGTCAAAAAGCAGGTGAGGCGGCACGATGCGACGCCTGGGCTGTTTGGGCTGTTTAAATCGAGCAGGCCATGCCGCCAGAAGAAGTGGCTTTGTCAGGTGGCAAAAGGCTAGACTCGTCACACGACCCCTCTATTCTTGCTGTATGCTTTGAACTACCGAGGCTGCTGGTCCTTTTCGTCGCCAGCCCTTACAGCTTGCCTTTCTCTATCGCGGCCGCCCTCAGTGTCTTTGTGCCCACCGCGGCACGTTTGTCTGTGTGGGGTGTGCCCTGCTACATTTTTGATCAACGCAGCAACAGCTGCTTACTCCTTATTGGGGACGTCTCAGCAAACCCTGCCACTCCTGAGCGCCGCCCACCCGACTGTGGGCCCATGGTCGACCAACTTTGACCGGCTTACAAATCTCGTAAAGTGCAAGCCCAAAGCGCCTGGCTATGTAAGAATATGGGAGCAATAAGCTCACTGTTACACGACAAAGCTGAGTGTGAAAAGCTGCCTGCTGGCTGCATGAGTACAGACAGACACAAGGGGGTCAAAGGCGCGTCACTCCCGTCGACGCACCCAGCATTCAAGCACGAAAACCGTCAAGCCAGGGGGCCCGCCAGCCCGCCACACGGCAGGCAGGGACCTGCCGCCCGACGACCGCTCGCCGGCGCCGCTCACGCCGCCGCCGCCCGCGGCTGCTGCCGATCGTCCGCCCCGCCCTCCCCCGCCGCCGCCGCGACACCCGCGTCGGCGCCGTCAAACGTGATGTACCGCCGCCGCCCCTCGTCGTACAGCGTCCAGCTCGTCGCGAGGTTCAGCAGCAGCCGAGGGTTCAGCAGGTCCCCCTCTGTCAGGTACGGCGCCAGCTTGGCCCGCAGCTCCGCGTACGCGGCAGCCGCGTGGTACCGCGGGATGCTGATCGACAGCGTGCGCGGGAGGCCGAGGTTGGCGGCGCCGACGACGTGCTCGAGCCAGGGGGGGAGCCGCAGGTTGATCGTGCCGTTGACCACGGCTTGACCGTGGTCGTACTCCAGGCCCTTGGGTTGTTTTTGGGGGGCGGACGTCGTGGTGTTGTCGAGGGGATGGTGCGGATTGTATTAGATTGGTCGGTCCGAGGGCAATGCGAGCATGACTTGTTCGGGTTCTGACAGGGGGAGGCCGCAACACAAGCCATGCTCGGCTGGCTAATCATGGGGCCGCCCAGGATGCCCCGACGCGCGCACGTGCGCACCTCTGGCACGACCGGGATGTGCGGCGCCGTGGCCTGCGCGACCGCGACCAGCCCCTGCCACCCCTGGAACACCAGCCACGGCGCCAGCCACCACCCGACCAGCCGCTCCACCCCGCCAGACACCAGCAGCGACGGAAGCACCAGCCCCGCAAACGCCGCGGGCAGCGCCCAGCTGAGCAGCACCCAGCGCCGCGTGGGGGGCGGGTGGCGCTTCAGGTCAAGGCCATCCCAGCAGGCCGCCCAGCCCGCGAGCCCGCGCGCGACGAAGCGCAGGGGCGTCGCGCTGACGAGGCGCGCGAGGGCGCGGCGCCAGGCGGGCAGCGACGAGTATTCGGCGACCGTGAGGGGGTGCCACAGGGGGCTGTCCTCGAAGAGCATGTTGGGGCGCCTGCGTTCGCAGGCGGGGGCGGGCGCCGACGCGGGGTTGCCGCCGGTGGGTTTGTGAGAAAGAGAGTGTCAGGGCGGTGCAGACAAAGACGGCGCGGAGCCATTGATGAGGGTGGCGCGGGCGAGCGGCCGTGCAGCATGTGACAGTGCGGCCACCGCCGGAGGCTGCAAGGCACGCCCTCGGGGGTGCGAACGCAAACACAGGCCCGGCCCCGTATGCAGCCAAGCGCGCGGCGCCTGGGCACGCGCGCCGTGAGGGCGCTCACAGCAGGTGGTTGAAGTACTGCAGGCGCCAGCCCTCGTAAGGAATCAGCCCCGGCGCCATCAGCGCGGCGCCGATTGCGTCCTGCGCTGCGGGCTCCTGTCAGGTGGGAGGGCGCGGGCGCAGGCGCGGTGCCGCCGACCATTGCGCGTTGGCGACGGCAGAACAATGGCGGCAGGGCGAGAGAGGCGCGCCACGGCAGCTGCGAATCGTGGCCGACAACAACGAGCCCCGCATGCATAGTCAAAACCCGCAGGCACCACTTCCCCGTGACGACCGCAGCAACCCATCATGCGCGCTCGACCACACGCACCTGCGGCCAGAAGGCAAAGTGTGCGCAATCCGCGGCCGCCTGGAACGCCCCAAAATAGCCCGTCCCGACCGCCAGCCAGCATAGCAGCTTCTGCCACAGCGGGCAGATTGAGTGCATGTAAGCCTGCCACGCGCAGCCCACGGCGATGAGCGCGAAGGGCGCCAGGAGGCCGCCGAACGCCTTCCACAGGTCGATTTGAAAGTGGCGCTCGTCAAGGGTCTCTGCCAGCGCCCCCAATGAGATGCCGTCTGGGAAGGGGCGGCCCAACTGAGTGTAACCCCAGTCCTGCGAAATGCCGAGCAAGGGGACAGGCGCGGTACGGGAGCCGGAGATGATCAGCAAGTGCTTCACTGGTGGTGCGCGCCAGGCGTCAGGCGGTCGCAAACAGCGGGCGCCAGCGGCGGCAGCCGCGCCGGGGTTTCGGCGGCCAGCTGGACAGGCTGGGCTAGAATGGGTGGGGTCGGGCAGGGGGGGCCGCAGGGCCGCACCTGTGCTTGCTGCTGCAGTTGGACGTCATCGAGGGCGTCCAGCCCGGTGCTGCCGCTGCTGCTGGGCGGGAGGTCCAGATCGAAGCTGCGGACCTCTGGCGCGACGTTACTCCTGCTCGCGCCCTCGCCTTCTTCCCCCTTTTCCTGCTCCTGCTCCTGCTGCTGCTCCTGCTCATGCTCATGCTCCTGCTGCTGCTCGTGCGGCAGGGATGTGCCTGCGGCGTCGCTGCTGCTGCTGCTGGCAATCTCGCTGCTGGTGGCTGCTGCTGCCCCAAACTCCCCGGCCCCACGCACACGTCGCCGATGGTGAGCGTACCCGCCGGATCTGCTGCCGCCGCTGCTGAGCGCACGAGCCGTGCTGGCGCTGCCGCAGCTGCCGGCGTCCGCAGGTGCTTGTATGTGTAATTGGCATAGCTGTTGATGTGGGCGACTGGGCGCCATGATGCGGCGAAGCATTGACATGCGCTGGTGTGCACTGCTGCATCGTCCGCCGGCCGCCGCCACCGCACACTGCAGCACTTGCTGTGGCGCGTATCTGGCCATTGGCCTCGACGCGGGTCTGGTGCTCCTAGACCAGCCTGCTGTGCTCGTGCCCGCCTCCATCCTCGCAGGCCAGCTGCCGCAGAGGATGCGTCGTCGGCCTTTGAACGCTGAACCCCGTTCTAGCCCAACCAGAACTGAGATATACTATGTATCTGCCCTGCCAAAGCGTTGAATGACTTCGACGCACTTCCACAGATCACACGCGAACTCGTTCCAGCGATGGGTCTATCGCTGTATCGCCTTTTGCATTATGAAGTCATATATATATACGTGCTGATGATTGCAAGAGCATGTCGGCAGGTTGGGCACCTCAACTCAGGTCGCAATCTGCATGACTTTGACAGTCCTGGGCGACATTATGGTAGAGACGACCGTGGGGCCTGTACAAGTGCCTAGACAGAGGGTGTGGACCGTGGTTTTGGCACGCAGGATCAGTTCCTGCATACACATGTTGCCAAACCGGGCAGCCACCGCCACATCGCGCTCCTCACACAGCCCAGACTGCCTCACAAGTTACCAAGGTCACCAGCCTCAGCATGTTGCTCCAGATGCCCCAGATGGTGGCGTCGCTTGCGGATTTGTATCATAATTGTTCAGCATACAATACTGAAGCAGGCAGACACCAGCGCCCTCTGGCAATGTGCTGACGAGAGTGCACTGTGTGCACGCGGATGCACAGCACAACCGCCAAGGGGCGTCCCAACATTTCTATACAATTGGTGAGTTCCAGCAAACTTTTCGCAACCTTTAATGAGAGGCTCTGACATTTCACATCGGGTCAATGCATGGGACGGCCTCGGCGCTGTGCTGCCAACCCCCCACCTGGTGGCTGCGAGACGCTTCCCAGCGTACCTGTGCTTGTTGCTATGGTACCCGCGTGTACCCAGGTGCTGCTGATAGCAGGCTCACAGTGTTCGCAATATCTGCAACAAAGTTTGTCAGACTTAGGTGCAGGTCATCGAGCGGGGGCGGGGCGCTTGGTAATCGCTCAGAAACATTCATTTCACCTCTCAAACGACCCTCCCGGCCTGTACCAACCCCACAAAGCCCGCACGCACGCCTGGGTTGTGAGCGTGTGCGCAGACGTGGGCGTGGGCGTGGGCGTGGGCGTGGGCGTGGGCGT